CCAGCAGTATACTTACCTGTGTACATGGAAGACATAGGTAAGTATACTGCTGGGTAGATTATTAAGTGGTTGAATCAAAGGGGAAAAACTTGGATTTCTAATGGGAGAGGAAGTCATTTTTTGGTTGTTAGTGCTGCCATCAGCAGCTTCTAACATTGTCTGAGATCACAGTTTTTGAAGGCTGACTACCAAATGTTGGCATTTGTCCCAAGTGGAAAGCAAAAGGCAAGCCCCCTTAGAATCCATTTTGGCATGTCTTTTTTTCCTGTAGATAAAAGAGTTTTATGCTTCATTCTATGCATTATGTCTAAATTTATTGATTTTCATGTAATTGACAGATCTTGTTTTTACTAATCCCACTCCAGCTAAATTCACAAGATTACTAACATCAAGGGTTTGAAAATCATTTTTAGATATCCAGTTCTATGCCAGGTGTTTTGCAGATGGGGAAACTAAGTCCTTAGTTATTTTTTAGAGTTTCCCCTACATCCTAGGGAAACTGCTGTGGCCGTGTAACTGGCACAGAGGACCTAAAGCCTGGAAGAATTTTTGGTATGTGCTTGTTGTGGTTAGAAACATTTCAGTAAATGTGGAGCTGCTGCTAGAGGACAGAAATCCCAGAGTATGGCTCTCCTCTGACCCAAGTTTCTTACCAGCTGTGCTTCTTTGTTCCCAGGGGCTAAGTAGGCACTTTACCCACCCTAATTACCATCTAGCTGAATCTCTCTCTGATTACTCCTGAAATGCCACAACCCACTTGAGGATATGCTATCATTGTGCAGTCTGTGCCAACCAGTATTCTGAAGTATTTTCATGCACTAAGGTGTAGGGGTGTTTGTGTATGTATCTGTGACAGAGGGAGTAAGGAAGAAGGAGGAGAAGATGGGGAATGCATAGAGGGCTGGATAGAAATCTGACAGTGCCAATGGATTCCTAGTAAATGCATAGGTGAGTCACACTGGAAACAGTTAAACATTGGCTAATTGATACACTGCTGGGCTCAAATATAGTATAGTATGCATTTTCTTGACGCCAACAAATAAAATCTCCAAGTCAATAAACTCCATGTCAACAAAATAAACTCTGAAAGTAAGACTCTTGCCTAGAAGTTTTCAAACGTTCTACGTTCAAGAAGCAATTTCTTCACAGTGCCCCCAGACCATAGTTCTTATTAAGTAGACAAAAACTTAGTAATTATTTATGTTCTAACAACCTTGTACTTGTTTGAATAAATAAGATACCAATTTAAAAAAGTAATATTTTATTTCATTTTTAATAACAATTACTTAATAATAGGTTTTATGTGCCTGCTGACAACTTCTCAAACCTTGGAATCAGATCAGACATGACCCCTTCATTTCTGTTCCACCTTGGTTTTTATGCAATGCTTGGTTTTTGTCATAGGGATTGTCAAACACCCAGCTTTGCAAAGATATGACATCATCAAATGGAACACGGTCTTACATAATATTAAAACTACCTTCAGCAAATGCTTAGCATAGTGTGCAACTGACTTCAAGAATCACTGTGCTTCTTCAAAATTTGAAAATAACGCCGGGTGCCTCTGTGTTTGGGAATGACAGGCCTAGCCTCGTGTCCTGACCTCTCATGATCTATCGTCCTACTAAACCAAAGTGGGCACTCATCTGACTTTAGTAAATTATATATTTGCATTTTACAACTTTGAAGAAGAGGAAGCAGTATTCACAAAAAAACACAGTAGTTTCTAACCCCGTAGTTAAAAATCAGTCACTTTTATACAACCAGTAGTCATTTCCCAACTTATTTAGTAGTTTTATGTTGCTTACGTTATTTTACTTGTTTTTTAATTCTATTTTCACCCATTGACATCTGTCTTCCCAATTTAGTCCTATTTTCTTACTTTTATTACTTATTTCTTTTATATTTAGTCAGCTTTACTGAGGCTTATCTCATTAAAATAATAATAATACATTTGTTTTAAAACTTCCAACAAAGGAACAACCAAATTTTTATTAAACATCCACATAAGGAGCAGTAACATTTTAAACAGCTATTATAGACCAAGTGTGTTGCTAGGAGCTACAAGAAAATAAAGAGATGAGCCAAAGTAAATGCCTACTTTGGAGAAACATATACCTTATATATAGAGAAGACTAAAAGATATGATTAGTTTATCAAAAATGTCTTGTGGATGATACACTGTGGTTGGTCTCGGAGTCAAGAGTAAAGCAAGCTCACTGCCTTACTCACGCGCCTCTGTGACCACCTCCAGCCCTTGATCTCAGAGCTCCCTAACTCTAGAGCTCACTTCCTCCCCTTCTCTGCCCACTGAAGTATATTTATCCTTCAAAACCTGGAGCAAATAATACTCCTCTGTGTTGTTTTCCTACCAACCCATTATCAGAAATGGCACCTCTTTCTTCGTGCTCTTAGTGCAATTTGTACATAAGGCGTACTTCTGTCTTAAACAGAATCTTGTAATTATTTATTTTCATGTCTGATTTCCCTATCTGACTGGTTGTTGCTGTAGAGGAAGCATCATGCCTTGTTCTTCCTTTGCACTCCCAATACCCAGCCTTGGGCTTAGCAATATGGAAGCCACTGAGTGTTTGACACCTGAACTAATCAGAGAATGAATCACAGATCTGAGTTGATAGAATTTTATAGAGCATTTGATTCCACCCTCTCTATGATCTGTTAATCTGTTTATAATACCTCCAAATATTTGTCATCTAGATGATGCTTGAATAAAACCAGTTTTAGAGCTTGAAATGCTGAAAGGTGCTATAAGCAAAAATTTGCCTTTCCAGTTGTACTGCTAGCTATAATTCTAATCTTTCCATGTTGATCCTTCAAATGTTTAAAGGCAAATGTTTACATCACTGACGTAGGCACTTAGATTAAGAGATCCTCTTTTGAAAAGTGAACCCAAGGCAGTTCAGTCACCTGCTTAAGGTCTCCACAGTTAGCTCCCAGCAGAGCCAGGTCTCTGGCTGCACTTCCCTCTTCTCCAGGCACTTGGAGTAGATGGTTCCTTCTTACTAAACCAGCCAGTTGCTTTCAGTCAACAGTGTGTACCTGAAACTACATCCTAGGCAAGGAAATACATAACACTGGTCCTTTCTACACCCGGAGCCCATTCCTTCTGTCTGGGACACCCTTCTGGACATCCTGGCAGGATAAACACTGCTGGCCTTTCTCCAGGGAAATAACACCCCCCTCTACTGACCTCTTCTCTAGTTTCAGGGAAGATAGGAAAATTGCCTCATCCTCTTTCTCAACCCAGCTCATGGAAATGGCTCCTCACCCTCCCCTAATGCAAAGAGAACCTGCCTTGTTTCCCACTGTCCTGCTATTGGCACTAATATCATGCTACGGTCAAACCTGCTGTCTTTATAGAGCCAGCATGCTTCCATGCAAAACTCCCAATGTCATGCATATATGCAATACCCTCTCTCCTTTTTCCTGGAATTGTTTTTCTCATAAAAGTGGATATTCTTTATTGAATGCCTACTCTGTTCTACAAAAATGAGTCACATTCTATCCCATCTTGCAAATGAGTAAAGTGAGGCTCAAAGTGGGTAAGTCATTTTCCTATGTCACCAACTTGACTCATGATAGAGCAGGATTCCGAAACACATGTGCCCATCCCCAGTACCCACACTTCAACTGCCTCTCTAAACGTGGGGTCACCTTACTCCTGTTGGGCCCAGAGAGGGGGAAATTATACAAGGTTTTTGGTTTTATCGTGTTCATCAGGGCCTAGAACATGACTTCCCCTAGAAGGAATCTACTAGTTCTTCCCCAGTAAATTATGTCCAGTTGCTATGGGAAGCAACCAGCTCTACAACACTTTCACAGGTTGCTTGAAAAAAGGGGACCTTTTTATTTTAAAAATATAGAATATTTTCATCTCTATAGTTGAGCTGCTTCTCTCAGATTCCTAATCCAAAAAAAAACAAAAGATGTATATCCAGCTTTAAGAAGAGATTTCACCTGTCAAACTTAAAAATAGCAAATTTTTAGAAAAATTATGTCTGGGGGCACTTACCCTGCACTTAAGAAACTTAGGGAGATAAAATTGTCACAAAAATATATTGGGGGAAAAGCTAACATTATATAATTTAGTGTTAAATGTGTGTGCTACTGACCAGAAATGCTATAGGAATTAAAAGAACAGAGGCTCATAGATGTGAAAGGCAGATGAAACTAATTCTGGGAAACACTTAAAATTTCAATAACTTACAGCTACTAAGCACTTACTATGTGCCAGGAACTATTCTGAGACACTTTACATTATTAACTTAGTTGATTCTCACAAAGCACTTCAAGGAAGCTACTACTACTGTTTTCTTTATGTTTGTGATGCACAGAAGGGTTAATCTGTCCGAGATTATACCATAGTTACTGACAGCCGGGTTTTATCTCAGGCAGCCTGAATCCAGAGCCCGGTTGCTTAATCAGTGCACTCTATTACCTCTCAGTGCTCTTACACATGTGTGTTATTAACCATGGCCTGGTGCCAGAAGATTCTCTGGCCTGTGCCAATGGTGGCTGTACCGTGTGCCCTGGAGGTGAATCAGTATCCAACTGAGAGGGGAAGGATGGCTTCGCATGCCTACCTTTCTACCACAAACCCTTCCTGGCAGCCACCCTCTCTCTCTCCCACTGGTGACCATCACTAGTGACCTGTGAAAGAGACACACCAACAGTACAGCTGGGGCCCTGGCATTGTGCCAGGGGCAGGATCACAAAGGGCAGTGCTACAGCAGGACCTGTCGTGCCATATTATGGCTCCTGGTCCCAACTCCATGCCACCAGCTGCTGCGTAGTATTGTGTCAGGTCACCACACCAATCTGAGCTTCAGTTTTGCAAGTGATCAAGAGAATGTGTCTGACAAGGTGACCTTTTCCAAGTATGCTGATCTATGCAGTTCTAGGGCTGCAGAATGGAGACTAGAGGCAGCAGCTCAGCCCAAAGTACAAGACTCTGTTCAGTCAAAGGTCCAATTCCAGCAGCTCTGCCAGAAGCTACAGCCTTGACCACAACTGTACTAACATTTGGCACCCGTGCTGCATAAGGCGGGGAGCATACCAAGCACAGGGTTAGCCAGTGACCTGAACATTTCCCTTCTCACATTCACATACCAGAGACCAACTGCAGAAGATTCAAATGGAGCAAATTGCTTATTCTTCCAAATTCTTTTTCCTGGTTGATTAGAGCAGCCAAGTATAGCGGGGAGCTCTTGTGAATAAAAAACCTTGCTTCATTTTCCCCACGCAGGAGAACATGGGCAAGCGAGTTGCCATTGTTGGAGCTGGGGTCAGCGGCCTGGCCTCCATTAAGTGCTGTCTGGAAGAAGGACTGGAGCCCACCTGCTTTGAGAGGAGCGACGACCTTGGGGGCCTGTGGAGATTCACCGTAAGTGGGGTTTCACCAACTGTATCTGTATTGGAGAATGGGTTGGCAGCTGGGAAATTATATCTGTACTTCTTTCACAAGGGCTGGTGGCCCTGAGGAAGGTTAGACATGTCTGCTGAACAGGAGACCAGGAGGAGCCCTTGAAATTGTAAAAGAAACAGGGCACAGGTGAGCTTGGGTGGAAGTCAGAACAGACTTGTACTCTATCTAGAGCCAAGGGGAAGAAGTGTTTCCAAAGATGCCCACAAAGTATGGAAGAGAATAGAGTGACTGGGCCAGGCCAGGGAAGCCCAGAGGCAAGGAGCAGGACCAGGGGCGGCAACAGCAAGAATTTCAGCCTCTGCCTGCAAGACTGAGCTGCTTTACCTGCTTCTTTTCCCAGCTTGGCTCCATCTGCATTAAAGACTCAGGGTTCCATGTAGGATGAGCTCCATAATCAGGGTCCTGCCGCTCTGGCAATCCCAGTGCAGGCCAAGAACAAAATTAAAGAATGTGTTTTTTTATTCCCTAAGCAGAAGAAAAGTAATATACCCAAGTCTCAGCAGGGTTGCTGCCTGGATCAGAGAAAGGAATGAAGGGGCGAGGACTGAGGAAAGGGTACTATCAAATCCACCCTTGCCTGGCCTGGGGCCCCACAGGATCACAAGGTCCCTACTTAAAGCCATCAAAACCCTGAAGCCAGGCAGGGAAAATGTTCTGTGAACTCCCTGGCTCAGTCAGGCATTTGCATCAGATCTTTCCAGAGTTTCTATTTTCCCTCCTTTTGAGCAAAAACATTTCCCATGCGCTTTAAATTTGCTAAAGAGAAAGCTGTCAGAAGGAGAAAAAAGAAGCAAGGTATCAGATAATCCAGCCTCAGATCCCAAGGGGCTAAGAGAAAGACACAGCATTTCTCTATTACCGAAGGGTAGAATTTGGAACTGAAATAAAGTAATTATTTTCTGGCTGAGTGTGTAAAGCTCCAGAGAGGCCAAGGTTACTAGTATAATCACAGTCCTCCAGCATAGGCAGCTTGGCTCACATAAAGAACTGCATATCTTAAAGTGTACCCCACCAGCAAATGTGATCATCAGTGCATGGAGACCTCCAAAGAGGGCCAGGTAGAAGAGCATGTCTCTTCTCAGGAATCAAACCGCTTATGTTTCAACAGGATGGCAGAAACCTGACACCTAAGCCAAAAATTTCCCCCTTCCCATGTCCATCAAAGACGCTACAAATCAAACATGATGTCTTTCCCCTAGAGAGCCTCAGAATCTTCTTAACAACAGTATTCCAAACAAGCATACCTAATCAGTCAGGGTCAAGAGTTGGCTTGAAAGATGAAAGTGCTCAACTAAATTAGCAGTTATTTGACTAAAGTAATCTCTTTCAAAACAAAAAGTAAGCCTAAAGATCAAAAGCCTCTTAAATACTCCTTATACAGGTCATAGGCACCTAATCATTAACACTAAAAATCATTGATCTAAGAATCAGAAGAAATGGGTCTAGATCCAGCTGGGCCCATTTCCAGCTGTATTGCTCAAGTGGGTCAAACACCAATACACAAAGCACAAAACACAGTGGGGGATACAAAAATGCGAAGAATTCACCCTGCCCTCAGGGCTGTCAGACAGATGGAAGAAGGCTGGATTCTGCAAGTCAGAAAGTGCTGTGGCCTTTAATTGAGAGCAGGATAATGGCCACATTTAGGAAGCCAGAGAAAGCTTCACTGAAGAGGTAGTGTCTGATGGACTTTGAAAAATTTTGACAGGTAGAGGAGATTGAGCAGAAGACACCAGGGAGGGTAGGAACAGTAAAGAAAAAGTACTGGGCATATTCAGAAAATAAAAATAGCTTCTTGGTGCAGATGGTACACATAAGAGGAGGGCTGGGAGGGAAAAGAGTGGCTGCATGTTTGGGCAAGGGGTTCATATTCAACTTTAAAAGCAATAGGTAATGAGGAGCAAAATTAAAGAGATTTCCTGGTTGTTGTATTTGTTTTGTTTGCATAATGGAAAGACCCAAAGATGTTTGTAGGCAAATGGAAACTACCCAGATGAGAGGAAATAACTGAGCACATAAATCCAAATTGAGACACAATCCTAGCAGGAAAAGGGAGGGGTGGAGTTGTAGGCACAAGTGGAAGGGTTAGCCCTGGCAAGGTGGGGACATCTAGAATATCCCCTCCCCAGTGAATTTCTGACATTTAAACATGTCATTACAAAATGCTTTAAAATTTTTAATTTGTATATAAATTTTTATATATATTAAATTTATATTTATATATAGAGAGAGAAATTATATTTTGGGTATGTTGGGTTAAATAAAATATACTCTTAAAATTAATTTCACTTGTTTCTTTTTACTTTTTTAATATGGCCACTGGTAGATTAAAAAGTGTTTATGTGACTTCTATACATCCTATTGGGGGCAGTGCTGCTCTAAAGCTTTCTCACTCAAAATATGGTCCATGGGCCAGCAGCATCTACATAGAAGCTTGTTAGAAATGCACAATCTTAGGCTCGCTCCCACTTACAGAGTCCACATCTACATGTTAATAAGACTACCCAAGCAATGCCTCACAAAATTCAAAGGTGCTGAGCTAGAGAGTTGTGCTTCCCAAACAGTGAAGAACAACCTGTTTTTTTTTCCAATTAATTATAGACTGCTGTCAAAAATAATAAAAATGAATCCTTAGAAAAATGACACAAAGAAAAAATTAAAAATGTAAATTTGAAATTTATAGAGTCAGAAATTATAAAATTAATTTCAATAAGTGTCATTTAACAACATAGATATAAGGGAAAACAATTACAAAAGATGAACACGTTGTTCTTTGAAAGTATGCACATATACAATTCACACAGTAAGTCACCATTACCCTTGTAACTTTTTGCCAAGCAAAGAAATATTTTGTGTGAAATTGCATTTCTCCATATTAAACACTGGTAGGCATATTTTAAATATACATTTTTTATATTACTATTTAAGGTTTTTAATGTGACAATTAATCTTGCTTTCTGCTTGTCAATTTACCTAATCTGGTTTGAATAAATGGCAATGCTCTTTGCAGGGGATAATGTGTATCTAAATTATTTCTAAACATTGCTTCATAGCAGTCAAAGAAGAGAAAGGAGACTCACAGAGGCATGCTGATTGAAATGAGGAAGAGATTTTAAAGCAGTCTCAGCAAGATCAGGGTATTTTTTTTTTAACTGCTGTCCAAAATGAAGCTGATAGTCCTACTTTTTCTTGATGTATCTTCAATCTTTTATCCATGGCCAGTTCAAATAAATTATACTATAAGATTAAATATAAATTATCTTTCAATGAAAGAAAATGATTCCAGATTTTATGCGCTTTTGGATACGTTTTTAAAACACTCAAAACATCACACATGATAATACAGTCCTACAGCATATGACTAGTACACAACTCAAACTCATCGCACAAGTTAGACAACAAGACTGATTTATATCCTGTTCAACAAAACGGTGTCCACATACTTACATATCGAGCAATGTCAAATTATTGCTATAAAATTTCCTAAATGCTTATTTTCGATTTCTGTATTGATCTTGTAACAGACTGTAACAAACAATTTCTATCGGTATTGTTCTGCAGACTATATTTGAATAACACTGCTTTAAATATTTCCTCTGAATAAAATATCAAGATTTAAATTGTCATCTTTCTCAGAAGTAGGCCAAAATAATAGAGAGCAGACCTATACCATATCTACTTGAGTTAATTTTCTTCTGTTTAATAAGTTAGCCTTAGTTTAAGATTTATAGTTTATAGAAGTTTGTGCACTGCAATAGCTAAACATAGAGTGCAACTTGTACTTTGTAAAACAATGCTGGGTTGGTGAGAAAGTTTGTAAAGTGCTGATCACAGCCCTGAAACGTTTGGGTATCAAAGACTGGAACACCTGGCCCATTGCTCAACCTCCTGCTGCTTGAACCCCTCAGTAAGGGTCTCGTGGCCTGGAGGAGGTGACCCTGCTCACAGGCTCACAAAGGGTCTTGCAGAAGGCCTCTGGGCTGGTTGAGATAAGAGTGGCATTCTCTCTCCTGCCTATTCCATGGGTGACTGGGCTCAGGAGATAGTCTCTCCTTTGAGGTATATCATGTGGTTAGAACTTGCTGGCTCCTACCCATTCCCACACTCCTGCAGCAGCACCTCAATGATTATCTGTTTTTTAACTATAAAATACTAGTTTAGTTTTTTAGAATAACCACATACCTCCTAGTAAATGTAGATGATATAAACTGTTTCATTGTACGTACTCACTCCATGATCACCCCAACTCGAGTGATATGATCACACTATGTGTGTGTAACAACGAATATGTGTGGAGCCTAAAGCTCTGGGTCTTCACAGTCCTCATCTTGTGAAGAATCCCTGGGTCCATGCTAATGATTTCTATTTCTGTGTCTGTTTTTATTTTTTTCCTTAATTCCCTCATCACCACGGGGGCTTAGAACACCCACGAGTTGTGCTGTGGCTGGTCCAAAACACTCAGAAGCATTTTAGCTGAGTGTCTGATGGGTGGGCCACAGATAAGGAGGTTATAATCAACTCTTATCAATGAGATAAGTAACATTAATTTAAACCACAGTTTATAATTTTGTTTTCTGTGATTGCTGTATGTTTCATGCCAATACATAAATCTATATGTAACATAGATTCATGTCCTTTGCAGAAAAAGAGAAATCCCTCTCTATATGTGAGATTTGTGTTCATGTTTCTACTTGTTCACATAAACTAAATAATTTTTATTTCACAGGAAAAAGGAACTATAGATATGCAAGATGGTAAATAATGTTAAAATACAAGAACCATCCCACTGAAATCAGAATAATCCTCCTTACTACCTACCACCCAAAAGACAGAGGCAATGTATATTAAAGACATTACTAAAACTGCTTATTATTCAACTTTGCAGTAGTCTTATGAAATATTGATATTTGCTAGTTATTTGAGTAAAAACTGGGGTGAGAAATTGGCTAGTGTTAATGCCATACACACAGTCCAGTCTGGAAACCTTTGACTGCTTCCTCTCTCAATCCCTAAGTCTAATTGGTTTTGCAATCCTATGTATTCAACCTTACTACCATCTCACAAATCTCACCTTACTGGGTTCCAGCTGTCATTGCCTCTACTCATGCCCTCATTAGCAATCAAGTGGATTTGTGTTTTAGGCTCCTAGCTAGCCTCCTTCCTTCCTTCTCAGCCCTCTCTAATTCATCTTTTGCAGAACCAGAATTCTCTTTCCAAAATTTAATATGAATCACTTATATATTTAGAACATCCGGTAGATTGCCATAACCTTCTTGTGAAATCCAAATTCCTTAACTTCAGATACAAGATCCTTCATAATCGGAGCCATCTTCTCCATAATCATTTCAAGAATACCCCATGAAACCAAATTGTCCATCATCCAAATAAATACTACTTCCTGATTCTCACATATTTCCATATTCTCCCGTGTTTGGCAACGATACCGCATGCATCTGGACAGGCAAGTTCTTTCCAGCCTTATTTGTAAGCATGCAATGAATGTTCAGGTGTGTGCACTGTTGTACAGGAACATGTTGAAGAAGGCAGAGCCAGTCTCTACGAGTCTGTGGTTTCCAACAGCTGCAAGGAGATGTCTTGTTACTCAGACTTTCCATTCCCAGAAGATTACCCAAACTATGTGCCAAATTCTCAATTTCTGGAATATCTCAAAATGTATGCAAACCACTTCAACCTTCTGAAACACATTCAATTCAAGGTAAGACACAAAACATCAGTTGTAGTCAGAAAGTATTTTCCTAGCTATTTTCTCTTCTCTCTCTAGCCTAGCCCTGGTCTCTGTAGATGAGATACTAAACTGGCAATATTAATGACACCTGGCTGGATTTACTTTCTCCTTATACTCACTCCCACTTTAAGTATCTCTGGAGGTGGGGGTGGATGCTTTGTGTAAAAATTCATATGTATAAAATTTTGGTTTGCAATAGTTACATCCAAGTATCTTAGGGGACCTAAAAAACATCAAACCACATTTTTTTTGTAGAGATGGGGTTTTGCCATGGTGCCCAGGCTCCACACTTATTATTTTTATGATTAAAAATAAATTTATTTTGAAAGATTTTAAACTGAAAATGTACTTTTAGAAAAGACAGTTGTAATACAAATGTAGAAATACAATAAGCATTTCAAATAGTATAAACCAAATAGTGAACCCACTAAGAGGAACTGAAGAATGAAAGAAACAAGTTGTAAAATATCTACAGTATGATCCTATTTTTAATTTTTAAAATGTACATACACATATTTATTTTATATATATAGTAAGGAGATAAATATACAAACTGTTAACAGTATTTATCTCTCAGGATTGGAGTTGGGAGATGAAGAAATAACTTCCATTTTATACTTTTGTACTTTTGTATTGTTGGAAAAACATTTTATACACATATCTTACTTTTGTGATGGAAAACTAATATAAATAGAAAAAACAAACAAATAATAAAAGAAAATGACTGACAGCAAAAAAAAAAAAGAAGCCTATATTCTTTAAAAACTTTAAAAAGGAAAAAAAATAGCAAAGCCTTTTGGTCAGTGAATAATTTATCCTTTTAAATTTGACTTGTCTGAGATTTGTTGTATATATATTTCTTGAACCAAAGCCCAGTTATCATGGACATGTATGTACTCAATAAGAAGAAAAAATAGATTCTTTGAAATGTGAGCCACTCTCAAAAAATTCAAGCCATAATGTTAGCACTTTTTAACTGCTTTCTAGTTCTGGAAAAACTTCAGCAACATATTCTATAAAATCTCATAAGCTAATACACCCTGGGCAAATTCATGTTTTCAATTATATCTTATCTACATCTCTGTCAGAGAAATTGTTGTTAGAGAGACAGCTCTGTGAGAAATAAAGTTGCTTAACAGAAAGAATAATGAAAAAGGCATCAGAAACTTTGGTTCTAATTCTGATTCTATCACTTTCTGTGAGAATTTGAGCAAATCACTTAAAATTTTTGGATGCCACCGCTTGTCTTAGATAGTTCTCTAAGCTTAGAGTACTTCCAACTAGGGAATCATGATTAGTCTGGTGACCTGATTAGGTTCCTAGGGTTATACTTATTAATTGTGTTTATTCTGTGTTCTACAACTTTTAAAATGTCAATGATACATCAGTTGGCAAGCCCTTAATGGAATATTGACAACAGCTAATCATATCTGTGATTCCTTTTTCAGACCAAAGTCTGCAGTGTAACAAAATGCTCAGATTTTACTGTCTCTGGCCAATGGGAGGTTGTCACTCTGCACAAAGAGAAGCAAGAGTCAGCCATCTTTGATGCTGTCATGGTCTGCACTGGCTTTCTTACTAACCCTTATTTGCCACTGGACTCATTTCCAGGTACAGCATTTTCTGCAACTAACTTTTAAGTTTTCTCATGGGAGCCATCTTGATGCTTGATTATTCTGGAAATGAACTCCTATGGCTGTTCCATTAAATAGTCAAAGTTGGGAGTTAACAGGAATTTGTTTTTCTTTTTCTTTTATTTCTTATGTATTTATTTATTTTTTGAGACAGAGTTTCACTCTTGCTGCCCAGGCTGGAGTGCAATGGTGCAATCTCATCTCACCGCAATCTCCGCCTCCTGGGTTCAAGTGATTATCCTGCCTCTGTTTGTTTGTTTGCTTTTCTAACTAGCATCTTCTGGCCAGTTTTTTGGCTTTCATTTGTTCCAAATGATCTATGAATACAGAAGAGCAAAATGGATAGCATTATAAGCAGTTTTATGTTTTACTGATTCAGTGTCCCTTAAGTGACTGGAAGCACTCAGAAAGTCTTCTAAGACATGGGATGCTTACACAAGTCGCTAGACTTAGCGGCAGGTACCCATTGCCAAAGTTGAGTTTAGAGGCCACAAAAGTCAAACTCTGCATAAAGAAAAAAGTAATTTTTTGACTTTTTTTTTTTATGTGAGTGATAGCAATTAGATTAGAGGTTTATAGCACTGGGTCAATAGTCAAGAGGGAGCTTAGTCTTGGGAGACAAGTTAAGACATCTTTGGATCTCAGTTTCTTTATCTGCCTTTTGCAACCATGGTAACATTAATCCATGCCAAATTTTAACTGGATTTTAATTCAGTGGAACAGAAAATATAATGGTTTGGTTTATTTCATCTGTAACAAGCATTCAAAAAGTTGAAACTTTTCTCCAAGTCATCTAAAGATTGCCTAGAATGGCCGGGCGCGGTGGCTCACACCTATAACCCCAGCACTTTGGAGGCCAAAGCACATGGATCACGATGTCAGGAGTTCAAGACCAGCTGGGTCAACATGGTGAAACCCCATCTCTACTAAAAATACAAAAATTAGCTGGGCATGGTGGTGAGCACCTGTAATCCCAGCTACTTGGGAGGCTGAGGCAGGAGAATTGCTTTAACCTGGGAGGTGGAGTTTGCAGTGAGCTGAGATCATGCCACTGTACTCTAACCTGGGTAACAGAGCAAGACTCCATCTAAAAAAAAAAATATATATTTCCTAGAACAATTCCAAGAGGTATCTTACAATAAATTTATGAACACCCAGTGGTCCTGGATCTGCCCCCTGAGGTCACTCAGATGAGCTTACATTAGGGTAAAGCATATCCTGAAAATTGTCAGAGAATAAAATCATTGAATTGGAAAGAACGAAGTTCAGTCTTCTTCCCAATGCAGAAAATTACTTTTCAACAATTCTGAGAAAGACTCAATAACCTCGTCTTGAACCCATTCAATGATGGACTCTCATCATCACAGAACACAACCCAATTTTTTGTCATTCTTGCCTGCAGAGCAAGGCTCTGAGCAGCCATCCACTCCAAATTTCCAGGAAAGAGTACCTAGTCACTGCAAGAATCCAGAAAATTCCATGGCACAGGGAGTAAACTATATTCATTCAGCATTTACAGTATATTGCACTAGGTGCTAAGAATATAGAAGTGAATAAGGCAACAAGTAACCTGTATTGGAGGAATGAATAGAGAGATTTATGGAGTACAGTAGAGAAATCACAGTCTACATATGACCTGGAGTGATTCCAATACTGTAAACATATACCTCTCATAGTCCTGGATTTGCCCCTGGAAGTAACACAAGTTCACATCAGATTAAAATAATAAAGCATACCTAAAAGCAATTGAGCCAATATGCTTAGTTTGAGTAGAGGAAGTAGGGACCCAGCAGGTATGAATTCTAGCATTTACAACCACCTATCTGATAGTCTTGAGTCTCCTACTTAACCTTTCTAAGCCTCTGTTTTTTCACCCACAAATTGAAAAGCTTGAATTACTTTAACCAACAGTAAACATCACAAATCAAGCAAGAAGATCTCTATAAGACTTATAATCTTTCTTAAAACCCATCTTATCAACCACTACCGATTTAAAAGCCCTGACTAAATGATTAAGGAGACTTTGAGTTCTAAAATTCTGTGATTTTAGATTTGAAGAGGAGTTCTCCCAACCTCACTATCTGCTGACTTACCGCAGACTTGCTTAGAAGGCACATACTCTTTGGGGTTGTTGTTAGCTGTCATAAAAATTCAAATTCACTGAAGATATTAAAAAATATGTATCACAAGCTCTAGAAGCAATTCCAAAGAAGGTGCTCTAAAAAGTCTAAGTAAAAATATAGGTATCAGAGTTAGAATAAATGTGTAATTTCCCAAGGTGACTACTTTTATCATTCACATATATACATTCTGATATTTACCTTTTTTCTTTTCTATATTATAAATTTTTTTCTTAGATAAGACATTCTGCTACTTACTAACACAGCCACATTTACCTAATGTAAGTTCTTACTGTGTCTTCCTGTAAGAGAAAGTATTAGTCTGTTAAGAGACAGCCACAGAGTCTCATTTTTGTCCATTTGCGACCCCCCCAACCAAGAAAAAAAAAAAAAAGCCTATCCAAAGAGAATCTAAAATAACATGAAATTCAGAGATAATTCTATGTTTCTACTCAGGCTTTTCCAGCTCTCCCTTCTCACCAGTTCTCTGATCCATATTGGGTTCCGGTGCTGAGTAAATATTGGAATTCAGTTGCATCCTTGCTAAATTCCAAATGTTCTGTGTTGTGATTAGGTTTTAACTTGGATTTGTGTTTGATTTCTACTGATTTAAGGTGAGCTAAAGAACCACCAGGCCTTGTAAGGCTACTTCCCACAAGTATATACGTTTTTTTTCCCTGAGAATCTAGAGATCTTATCACCCTTTTTTTTTAGGAAAAAAGAAGTTCTTTGTTTAGCACATATTACTTCTGATTATGTCATGTGGTCTTAAGAGTATTTTCTGCTTAAATTATTGCTGTTAAAAAAAAAAAGAGTATTTTCATACATTTGCCTTTCATGTGATGTTTCAATAAGATTCAGCATCATTGCTTATGATGTCCTATTGAGTTAGCCCAGTAGATTGCATCCTGGTGTAACCGACATAATTCCTTTTTCTCTGAGCTAACTCTAGCCAACCCAGCAAACTTAGCTTGAGTCATAGTCAGTCACCAAGGTGAACTATCAGTGAACTTCCCCAACTCACATGAAACTTTGTGAATAGGGACAACATTTTATCTTATTCCCCCCACACCATCTAGCACAGCTCCAGGCACATAGCAGACAAAACAAAACAAAACAAAACCTTTTCTGAAAAGAGATACTGACTCACACTTCCTTTAAGCTTCTTTGACCTTACTCCTTGCTTATGAAAAGTTTATACAAATCGAGTATGAATAAATAGAATATTATTATCCTGTTGACTTTTATCAACCTTAAAATGATAATGACCTTATACTTTTGCTTGATATGTCTTTATGTCACAATATTTCAGCTTAGTAGTTAATTATCTAGTAAGTAAAACTGGAGACCAATCTAGTGAGATAGAGTAATAACCCCCATTAAATAATTACCTGCCAGTGTCTTATAGAGTCATGTATTCATATTTTGGATTTTCTCAAACTTGAGAATACTAGTAAAAATGACCAAAACTATCTTTCAAAAGAATGTTATCAACTGAAAAATATTTGTTTCATTCACTGATCCTAAAAATTCTCTATTTCACTTCTCTTTTATTTTCTATAGGTATTAATGCTTTTAAAGGCCAGTACTTTCATAGCCGGCAATATAAGCATCCAGATATATTTAAGGACAAGAGAGTCCTTGTGATTGGAATGGGAAATTCTGGCACAGACATTGCTGTGGAGGCCAGCCACCTGGCGAAAAAGGTACCATTCCTGATGTTACTGGGTGAAGAGCTTTGTCTTAAGATGCACGCCTCAAGCAAATGGTGTTTGACACCATGATCAATGTTAAAGGAATAAAATGTCTCACACACACACACAACAGATTGCTAAAGAATTTAATTTTTTCTGAATGCTCACAAATTTTACTATGAATTCCGGTTGTTCACCTTTCCTCCCAAAACCAACTTCTCTGACTTCTTTTTACTTTTTTTTTTTTTTTTCTTTTTGGTCAGTCATCCAACAAGAGCTACAGGACATATTTCTTCTCTACTCAGTCCCATAATTCAGAAAGTTCTACCAACTTTTTCCTGCTACTATTTCCCATTTGCCCCTTCCTCTCCTTATTCATTACCAACACCCTTATCAGGTCCATACCACCTCACACTGAGGCTACTGCATTGTCCTCCTAATAATAATTGCAGAAATAGTTAATATTTATTAGGATTACTCTGTGGCCAGTACTGCACTAAATGTGTTTTTACTCTATTACTTTAACCAATCATCAAAACAAGCCACTGACATAGGTACTGTTAGTATCCTTGACTACATATGAGGAAACCAAGGCTTAGAGAAGCTGAAGAACCTGCCTAAAATCTTATCACTAGCAGGTGGCGGAGCCGGTTCTCAAACCCAAGTCTCTTTGACTCAAAGCCTACATTCCTAACTATGCTCTTCTACCTCCTACTTCTGGGCCTTCCGGGCTTCTCAAGGGTTTTGCTCTGCATTTTATTTTTGCCTTGCACCCCTACCCACAGGTCACCCCCACCTGCAAAAAGCCATCTAGACCCCAATTACCAACAAAACAAATCCTCAGAAAAGTCTTCTCTCACTCTAGCACTCTCATGCTTAAAAAACCTCTAATTACTCTCTTTACCTGAAAAAAATAAATTGCAGATGTAGTAGCTCTGCATCATAGAGTTTTCTATAATCTGGTCCAAATCTGCCATTTTAATTTTAACTTGTTTCCTGTATGATAATCAACTGTCGCACTTTCCAGTTCCTGTGTCTTCAGTTCCCCTTTGCTCACGCTACCACTCTCTTCTCCAGAGCCCCTTTCTCTTCTATTACAATCTCCTTTACATTCCCAGATATCTCACTCCAACATGAAGTGATCCATCCCTATTCGGAATTTATGCAATATTGTAATTTGCACCCCTCTGTCATCACTTTAAAATTTTTAATATTGCAAGTTACCTTTTATCATATGTATCTTCTTTTCACCTATGCTGTAAACTCATTGAAGGGCATTCAGCTAACTAATATATACTGGTTGCTGGCTTCTGATGTGCCAAACATTATGCCAGGCTCTGGAGATACACTGGCAAACACAACAACAAAATCAAGATACCCACAATCATGGAGCTTATAGTTGTGGGAAAAACAGATGCCAAATAAATAAGTGTAAATAATTAAACCAATAATTTTAGAAGTGAAAACAGCTGTTAAGAAAAAAGGTTGGGAGTGTGTAACATTGATATCCCTTTTCCAGACTTTCAAAAAAAGACTCACTGATGATTTATTCATTGAAAGATTGTATTTCGGTTTTGTTTGTTGTTTGTTTTTGTAGAGACAGATTTTTGCCATGCTGGCCAGGCTGGTCTCAAACTTCTGGCCTCAAGTGAGCCACCCACCTCAGCCTCCCAAAGTATTGGGATTATAGACATGAGCCACTGCGCCTGGCCCATTGACTGACCGACTGATTGATTGACTGATTGAAACTTAGCAATTAGGTGGCATTATCCTAAATGAAGAGAAAGGAGGCCCTGAAACAAATATTAACAAAGGCCCATCCACTGTGACCACCACATGTGCATATTATTATTTCTGTTTCTCTAATTGTTCAGAAATGTCTTCAATCAGAAAACATGCTTTGACATACATCTTATCATTTATATATTAACAAAGAAACTCCCTGTAACTTAGAAGACAATTCCTATCTAGCAAAATGTTGCATTCAATTCTGCATCATGATATAGAGAGATAGGTTTAGTGTAAATGCCTCATGTCACAACCACTGATGTATCTGCAGTTCTTGCCACTGCATTACCTGTGTTGTATATTCAGCTCCATTATGAGGCCAAATAAAATATATAACACAAACTCTGACACTGGAGCCCCGGTCATCATGCCCCAGTTTGGTGGGGGAAGAAACAATTGTTAAATCAGCTGTTTTGTATCAGGAAAGTAACAGATTGCTTAACTAATTATTTGCTTTGTAAACAATTGTACAGGTAACTACTTATTGTGTAAGTACTAAAACTATTAGCTTCATGAACTCAGTCAACTGGTAAACTCAATCAGCCAATATTAAAAAGAACGAACACCAGGCTGGGCGCGGTGACTCACGCCTGTAATCCCAGCACTTTGGGAGGCTGAGGCGGGTGGATCACGAGGTCAAGAGATCAACACCATCCTGGTCAACATGGTGAAACCCCGTCTCTACTACAAATACAAAAAATTAGCTGGGCATGGTGGCATGTGCCTGTAATTCCAGCTACTCAGGAGGCTGAGGCAGGAGAATTGCCTGAACCCAGGAGGCAGAGGTTGTGATGAGCCGAGATCGTGCCATTGCACTCCAGACTGGGTAACAAAAGCGAAACTCCGTCTCAAAAAAAAAAAAAAAAAAGAACACCAAAAGTAATTGTAGTACTGAATTTTACTGTCATAAGCCAATGGTTTGCATTGAAACTGTGTAGACAGCTTTGATACTGCCATGCCCTGTTCTTACTGCCTACAATTACAGTGAGCACACAAGGTAGCAATCACCTGTTCATTGTTTTCTTACATAGACTTTAAGGTCCCTACTGTTTGCTACAGGCTGGCAGATAATAAGTATTCAATAATATGTCTTAAGGCATTTTAACACTCTAGATACTCCGAATCCTAATTCAAAAGGATTGACTTTAAAATAGAAGTTAGAAGAACAAAGACTATCTTGTCAGGGATGTATTTTGAAAGTGGCAGACTTTTCAGTGCCTTTCCATTCATGACACTTCTTGAATCTCTGGCAGAACCAGCCAACCCTGTTCACAGTGTCAAATGAAGGGATGTCTTTCATTGCTTCCAGGTGTTCCTCAGCACCACCGGAGGGGCATGGGTGATCAGCCGAATCTTTGACTCAGGCTATCCATGGGACATGGTGTTCATGACACGATTTCAGAACATGTTGAGAAATTCTCTCCCAACTCCAATTGTGACTTGGTTGATGGCGCGAAAGATAAACAACTGGCTCAATCATGCAAATTATGGCTTAATGCCAGACGACAGGTAAATATAATGTGATTGCCAAGGGCTTTTAGGAAGAAGGAGCCTCTGCCTTTCCAGCAGTCTGTACAAGCCAGGCAGTACCACAGTAATATGGCTGAATGTGTTGGAACACTTGATACAAAGTTACTTGATAATAACAGCTAACTATTCTTAAGTGCTCAGAAAGTGAAATTATGTATTTCACCTTGTCAGCAACTCTTTAAGTATTATTATAATAATCCTTTTATTATGGAGAAACTGAAACAGCAAAATTTAGCCATTTACCTAAGCTCATTGAGTAGTAAGTGAACCTGTGACCTTGGCAAGTTAGTTGAGCCTCAGCTATAGCAACCAAAAGAGAATGATTTGTCTATGATTTTGTTGACAAAAGAAACACACTTGCCTAGTTTCACTGTGTGGGAAAACGGAATCCTTTAGTTGCCCTCACCATTGTAGCAGGAGTGGCCATGAGAAGCAGAGCTCCCAAACACTGAATGGGGAAGGAAAGAATTTATTACAGCTGGGAGCTGAAGAATAATTTGTCCAAATTCAGCTCATCTAACGAAGGAAGCTTCTGCCTTTATATAGATAGGCTTATACTTTAGATATTACTCATGGATGAATCTTAGGTTTATAGCCTTAGAAATCACATATGAAAGGGTTTCAGTTTACAGCTTCAGGAATCACATATGAAAACTTTGGTTTATAGTTTTAGGACTCACATGTGAAAAAGTTTCAGGTTTGATCTTGTTTTAAGTAAAAACAGTGTCTTCCAGAGAGTTTCCCCAAGACCAAGCCTGCCACCTACAGGAAGGAGATTCAGGAAGCCCCAGCTGGCCTGCTCTCTCTTCTATTGAGATGCACTGTGGATGACAGACGGGGGAGGGAATCCCAGATGCCTGGGTCTCCTTCCTCACACCCCCTTTGAGACCCTCACCACTCTATAATATTAGTGACAGGTCTCACTCTTATTCTTACTTTTAGATCCTCTGAAGAAACCGGTGGATAATGTTTTATATAATATACTTGTGGTATCATTTTTCTGGTCTATTACAGCAGTGAAGGATTTCTTAGCCATTTAGAGGAAAAAGTGGGGAAGCAGGGGAACAGTAAACAAACACCCATAATCGTTAGTGCACTGATGATGAGGGTTTTTAATCCTCCCAAGGCTGAGGACCAACCTTTAAACAGGGACTTAGGGTTGAATTTATGCCATACCTGCCCAGGCATGTGTGCGAGTTTGGTTATATTCTTAACTGTATGACCCTGGTCGGTTATGTGTAGGCAGCAGTCGGTTACTCTGAATTTTTCGCAGACTCCTCTTTCAACTGCTAGCAGATAATCTAGGGCCAGATGGTTCTGATAAATCGCATTCCTCATTTGAGTTTCTTGTTGGACTAAAAGGGACAGAGCTTTGCTCGTTTTATTGTATTTCCAAAATAGGGGTCCGTATTCCCATGAGCCATCCTCCACCCATGTGGCTGGCCCATAATACTCAATAGTTTCTCTCCAGTGGCCACTCATCATCTGTGCATTCTCTTATTTTTAGGCTTCTTTTCTCCCTTTCGGAGTAAACTGGATACCCTAACAGCTCACTCATCTTAACAACAATAGGAGGAAAGAGGCTTAATGATGCCTATGACACAGCTTCCAGATCACACACCTTATACTGAGTGCCATTATATAAACAGGTTCTCTTCTGTGTCCCTGTACATTTATAAGAACTGTAAAACAAAAGAATGGCAGTAACTTTTATGTCATACCTGGTGTACATACTGAGGGTATTCTCCAAAATTCATGTTCCTACTGTACAAGTCCAAATATTAAGAAGAACAAGGCCCACAATGAATTTCTTCATGCTTTGGCTGTGCGTGGACCAGCCAGCTTCCGGGATGTGGCTGGAGCAAGGCTTGTTGTCCTTTTTAAGGTGATTCTGCAGTCCTTGTCTTGGTCCAAGTCTCAGCTGTTGCTGGTTTTTAGCCGGCTGTGGTGGATTCAGGCTGGGATTCCCTCTACCTTCATGGCTGTGGGAGTGGTCAGGATCAGGTCTGAGGTCCTTTCCATTGTGGCTTTAGAGGGGCTGTACTCCCGTCCTTTATCCTCATATGATCACCTAGTGAGAAAGGGTGAACTGGGGAGAAAAAGGCTTACAGGACATTTGTTATTTATTCAGGTTGAAGTATCCTGAGCGATTCTCCCTGGAGCTAATAACTAGCATCCTAACTCAATCTCTCCCCCACTCCCGAGGAGTTCCCGGGAGTGCCTGGAGCAGGGGAGGGGGCCTATGATATAAGACTTCATAGGGGAATATCCTCTTTTTTTAAAGGGGGTACATCTAAGTTTGAATAACACCAAGGGAGCCAAAGTGAGCCTGCACTCACTTTGATCTTGTTTCCTGATACACTTTCCCCAGGCTATTTTTGATGGTCCGGTTTATTTTTTTTCCACTTTTCCCGAACTCTGAGGGCAATAGGCAGTGTGTAGTTTTTAAAGTAATACCCCAAAGCTATTGCTGTTTTTCCAGACTAAATCTGCCACAAATGCTGGTCCATTATCTGATCCGATGCACAGTGGCAGTCCAAACCTAGGGATAAGATCTCGAAGCAGCACGCGGGTTACTTCATGGGCCTTTTTCTTTGTACAGTGCTCCATGTACTTGGAGAGTCAGAAAGGCATATGGCAAATCAGTGTAAATGTTTACAACCTTATTCTTACTTAGCTCTAGGGCTCAAGTCAGAGCAATGAGCTCAGCCTTCTGAGCTGAGGTGCTTTGAGGCAGTGACTTGGCTTCAATTACAATATCCAGAGTTGCCACTGCATAGCCTGCCCACCTTTCTCCTTGTGGATTAATAAAACTGCCCCCATCCACATACAACTCCCAGTCTACTACTGTCCATGGCTGATCCCGAAGATCAGGCCTTCTGGAATAGACTGAGCCCAAGACTTCAACACAGTTGTGTTCAACCGGGCCCTCTAACATCGGGAGCACTGTGTTAGGGTTTAAGGCGTCGCAGACCTCAATGGCAATGCAGAGATTTTTACTTTAGCAGGCCTAGGTGTTTGGCAGGCCTACCAATGAGGTCTTTGGATATTCACTAGAGTCTCCACTGTGTGGGGTGCTTTGATATTTAAATTGTTCCCAGAGTTGAGGCTAGAATCTTTAATTGCCATTTCTCTTTTTTTTTTTTTTTTTTTTTTGACCTATACAGCGTGAAAAGTCTTTGTTAAATCAGCTAGCCCCAAAGCCAGGGCTAACAGAAGATTTGCTTTTAGTTTCTGCCCTATTCAAAGGGTTTCTTGTCTTCCCCACCCTTTGTCACTTTGTGTAAGGGTTTGTCCAGTACTACAAAGTCTGGAATTCCACAATTTATGAAACCCACGGCTCCCAGGAGCTCTCTCACCTGCCTTTTAGTCTCAGGTTCTGGCAGGTTGCAAAGTGGCTTGCTTCCTCTCTGCTTCTGGATGATGAGCCTCAGATACTGCATTTGCTTTTTGGTAAATCTGGGCTTTCTTTTTAGACACTTTATATCCACAGTCCTCCAGGTGCCAAAGTAAGGCATCTGCTTGCACATCTGAGCGCTGTGGGGTGTTCCAATAGAAGGTTATCAGCATACAGGGGCAGCATGCAAGCAAGAAACTTCTCGGGGGCAGTCACAGGCTGATGCCTCCCCAAGGATGATGAGAGAGTTTCTGAGCCCCTGGGAAGCTGGGTCCAGGTGGTTACACCTGCTTCTGGGTTTCTCCCATTGAAACGCAAATAGTTTTTTGACCGGTGGTTTCCCCAAGACCAAGCCTGCCACCTACAGGAAGGAGATTCAGGAGGCACCAGCTGGCCTGCTCTCTCTTCTATTGAGATGCACTGTGGATGACAGAGCAGGGAGGGAATCCCAGATGCCTGGGTCTACTTCCTCACCATCTCTCTAATGGCAGAGCCTTCTTCCCTTTGTCAAGCAAGATTGACCTTGGCCCCAAAAATGGCTCAGCTTATACAAGATCAACTCACCAAGTGTTTGTCTCATGATTCCAAAGGTAGAGCCAGAAAAAGATAATTCTGCCCTTGTTCCTTTAAAATACATGCATGTTTCCCATATACAACTGCTTCCTAGGAAAAGAGAACAGATCTTTCAGAAGTTCTCATCAAATCTAGAAGTCCTTGGTTTCCCTTGTAGCCCTTCAGCTCTCAACCCTCTCTAGATTGACACTGATAGATGAATGCTGAAAATCAGCAAGAGAAACAGAAGCTAGAGAAGGTACTGGCTTCCTCCTCGGGCTTCCAAACTCTAGTAAATGGCAAGCATATTTTATAATCCTTCTTGAATGTTCATGAATCCCCTTCCACTGAAGTAGCGTCTCCCAAGACATGCAGCAATTCTTGTCCAACCAAGGAGAGAGCCCCAGAATGACAGAGGAAGGTAAGGAGAAGAGAGAACTGGCTGCATTGTACACGGACAGCTCTCTTCCCTATCCATGTTTTTTGTTTAGGACTCAGCTGAAAGAGTTTGTGCTAAATGATGAGCTACCAGGCCGTATTATCACTGGGAAAGTGTTCATCAGGCCAAGCATAAAAGAGGTAAAGGAAAACTCTGTCATATTTAACAACACTTCAAAGGAGGAGCCTATTGATATCATTGTCTTTGCCACTGGATACACATTTGCTTTCCCCTTCCTTGATGAGTCTGTAGTGAAAGTTGAAGATGGCCAGGCCTCGCTATACAAGTATATCTTCCCTGCAAATCTTCAAAAGTCAACCCTTGCCATTATTGGCCTCATCAAACCCTTGGGTTCCATGATACCCACAGGAGAAACACAAGCTCGGTGGGCTGTTCGAGTCCTGAAAGGTAAGTGTAAGAAATAGCAGGGTATGTGTTTTTGGTTTGCCATATGATTCTAGATACTGGAAATATTGAGACTATTATCCAGCTCCTATTTAAAACAACAGAATCTTTTTTTTTTTTTTTTTGAGAACGAGTTTCACTCTTGTTACCCAGGCTGGAGTGCAATGGCACGATCTCGGCTCACCGCAACCTCCGCCTCCTGGGTTCAGGCAATTCTCCTGCCTCAGCCTCCTGAGTAGCTGGGATTACAGGCACGCGCCACCATGCCCAGCTAATTTATTGTATTTTTAGTAGAGACAGTGTTTCACCATGTTGACTAGGATGGTCTCGATCTCTTGACCTCGTGATCCACCCGCCTTGGCCTCCCAAAGTGCTGGGATTACAGGCTTGAGCCACCGCGCCTGGCTACAACAGAATCTTTAAAAGCAGGATGCATTCCATTGTTTGCTGCATTATACTGTCATAATGATTTATTCTGTTACCAGCATAAATGGTATATGAGGGGTCAAAAATATAGGCTGTATCTATGTCTACCATTTTTTTTCTTTTTTCTTTTTAAGAAACAGGGTCTCACTATGTTGACCAGACTTGTGTGTGGTGGCTATTCATAGGCATGATCATAGATTCCTGGCAGCCTAAAACTCCTGGTCTTAAGCAATCCTCCCACCTCAGCCTCCTGAGTAGCTGAGACTACAGACATGCACACTGTACCCAGCTACCTGTTATTTTGACTAAAACAAAATGACAGTTAACAGTTCTGTCAGTTGACTGAATCAACTGCTTTAACCAAAATTTTTAAACACAAGCAACTGAGTGACAAAATTCAACCAAACTAGTTGTAAGAATCTGCCATATCAAATAACTAGTGAGATGACCAGATGTTCATCTTTTCAGCTGATGGCATTATTACCAGGAGCATACAACCAGTCATGTCAGGCTGCTAACATTTTTGCCAGAAGGATCAATGAGTAGCCAGTACTAGACATGAAAGGAGAGCTGTAGTAAAGCATCTTTATCTATAAGTCAACAGCTAGACCTAAACTTAAATTGCATTTTTGGATTTTTTTTTAAAATCCTACAGGTGTAAATAAGTTACCACCACCAAATGTCATGATAGAGGAAGTTAATTCAAGAAAAGAAAACAAGCCCGGTTGGTAAGTTAAGTATTTATGCACCCTTTTTTAATTATAACTGAAATTGGTAAAAACAATAGCAGAGAGATGGAAGTTACATTGGAGAAAAAAGGAATCATCTGAGACTTAGAAGAAAAATGCTAGGAGAGCCTATTTAAGAAGAGAAGGGAAAGGGGAATTTAGAATTTTCCGAGATCATCTGGCCAACATGGTGAAACCCCATCTCTACTAAAAGTACAAAAAATTAGCCGGGTGTAGTCGTGCATGCCTGTTGTCCCAGCTACTTGGGAGGCTGAGGCAGGAGAATTGCTGGAAACCGGAAAACGGAAGTTGCACTGCACTCCAGCCTGGTGATAGAGTGAGACTCTGTCTCAAAAAAAAAAAACATAACTTTTAGTGTCCCCAAAGTCATCACTTCAGCTCATGGTTTTCTGCCATCACATAAAGTTTTTATTCCAAGCCAAGTATTACATAATTAACCCTAATATACCAGGTACATTATTCCATACCTTATCCGTAATTAGCAGGCAAGCAATAGTACCTATTTACTCTGACACTAGAAGTGTCTGCTCATTCATTCATTGAACAGGTCTTTATCAGCTCTATTGTTTTTATTCAGATTGTTGGTTTTGCTTTTTATTTTCAATTGGCTGGAAAAAAGGAAGAAGAAGAAAAATAAGATTTTGTGATATGTGAAAAAGTATATGAAATGGAAACCATATTGGCCATAAATAAAATTTTATTAGAACACAGCCATGTTTATTCGTTTACGTATTATCAATGACTGTTTTTGTGTTACAGCACCAAAGTTGTTTAGCAGTTGAGATAGAAACCATAATGCGGCTCTCAAAGCCTAAGGCATTTACTGTCTGTCCTTTCTCATAATAAAGTTTGTTGACCACTTCTCTATGGGAAAGATTTTCACTTGTGCTGTGCTCTGTGGCTACCACTGAAGGCCAGAGATAATGCAAGGCTGATGGCCAGCAAAGTAAAAAGCCCTGGCTCTCCCCTTTCACTCTCAATCCAACCAAAACATTTCTGATTGTATCCACTTTATTGTTTTATCTGTTCATCTGTTTCTGGGTTTGATATAAATTTTTACTTGAATTAAAGGTTCTGGGGTAAGAAAACAGCAAGTTTTAAAATCATTGCATCTAAGGAAATTATTATCACTCTTATTCATACATATTCCTAAACTTCAAGGGTTGATCTAACCTTGTCAAAGTATCAAACTCCAAAACAATAACAGCATTTTAGATGTTTCTTCTTTATCCTCAACCTGGGATATGATTTGATCTTCATTATGGAACTCCAGTGTAATGGATAACTAATTAGAACTACTATACAATGAAAATCTTCTTGTCACACAGGCCAGCAAACAATTTTAGGGGCCAGGTGCAGTGGCTCATGCCTGTAATCCCAGCACTTTTGGAGGCTAAGTGGGGAGGATCACTTGAGCTCAGGACTTTGAGACGAGCCTGGACAACATAGCAAGCCCCCATCCCTACCAAAAAGAAAAAGAAAGTTATCCAGGCATGTTGGCACATGCCTGTAGTCCCACCTATTCAGGAGGCTGAGCCAGGAGGATCACTTGAGCTGAGGAGTTCAAGGTTGCAGTCGGCTATGATCATGGAGTGCCACTGCACTCCAGCCTGGGTGATAGAGCAAGGCCCTGTCTCAGAAAGAAAGAAAGAAAAGAAAGGAAAGAAAGAAGGAAGGAAGGAAGGAAGGAAGGAAGGAAGGAAGGAAGGAAGGAAGGAAGGAAGGAAGGAAGGAAGGAAGGAAAGCGAGAGAGAGAGAAAGAAAGAAAAGAAAAGATTGATTAATCAGCATTTCAGGGAATTTTGCCCTATGGATTTTTGTGGCTTTTCACATTATACAAATCACTGGATGTATTATTACTGAATAATGGAATTTTATAAAGATTTAGAAATTTTAAAATATATTTTCCTCTAGAAATTGCTAATTATTTTACAAAAGAACTAAGATGTACTATGAGCATATAGAGCATGCATTGAAACCCATATGTATAAAGTTTCTTTTGAAAAGACTCATCTTTATTTAAGAAACAGAAGGAGACTGCTAGATAGCTAGAGAAATAGAGGAGAAAATGCAAAAACCATCCCAAATTCTGCAGCAGTATTTTCTTTGGGCACTTTTACTTGTTCTAAGATTGTTGTTATTAATTTTTTTTATCTTCTCCTTTTCCCCCAATCTTCCTTTTATAAAGGTTTGGCTTGTGCTATTGCAAGGCTTTACAAGCAGATTATATCACATACATAGATGAACTCCTGACCTATATCAATGCAAAACCCAACCTGTTCTCTATGCTCCTAATGGATCCACACCTGGCTCTGACCGTCTTCTTCGGCCCATGTTCACCATACCAGTTCCGCTTGACTGGCCCAGGAAAATGGGAAGGAGCCAGAAATGCCATCATGACCCAGTGGGACCGAACATTCAAGGTCACCAAAGTTCGAGTTGTACAGAAGTCTCTATCTCCCTTTGAAAGTTTTCTTAAACTCTTCAGCTTTCTGGCTTTGCTTGTGGCTATTTTTCTGATTTTCCTATGAGTAAAAGATTTCCTAAAGGGCAGAGATGCACTGAGTAGATTTACAATGCTCCAATTCCTCTCTTATGGCAATACTGCTGCTTTCACAGTTATAAACCATATCCAAACAGTGAAGGCCACCCTGTCGCTTCAATGGCTGGCCCCAGGGCTACCGCTGGTATTCCTGAGCCTCTCCCAGCTCCACTTATGTCTAATGCTAGAGAACGGTAACTAAGATTTCTACGCATTTGAAGGTTGTTGGAAAGTTACAGGTTCATTTTAGAAAGAAAGCTGTTCTTGACAGCACTCTGAGCCACCATACCTCTTTCCCATGTAAACTGTTTCATAGATCTCAACTGAAACCCCTTACTTCACAAAAGATTGTGTTGTGCTGAAATGGTGCTCTTATAGTATTGGCTTATTAAAAGCAAAAAAGAAACCTAGAAATTGATTTTTTCAAGTGGTCTTTTGTTCTCTTATTAAAGGTTGGGAAAAGAGAGAAGAATATGGGGAGCCTATGAATAAAGCCCATAAAAGGAGAGGGGGTTCAAAGAGTTAGGTTGAGAGTTTCCAAAAGGACTGTACCTGCCTGGGACTGCTCATTCCTCCAGAACACTCTTTATGACAAAGCTGGTACTCCAGCTGGCCTCCCAAAGACCCAAATCAGATTCCACATAAAACCATCACTTCCATGGGCTCTTAGAGCCAGCCTCCAGCAGCCAAAGGAAAAAAACCCACCTGCTCAGATCCTGCTTCACAACCCTGCTATTAGAGACAAATGGAGCTGCCTCCCTTTAAAGAGTCAGTGAGAACCAACCAAATTCAACTGGAATTTGTTAGATAAAGAGCACAGCCAAGAAACCTTTAATAGAGAGAAAGCAGGGAGAGGAAAGAAAAAGAGGAACAAAAGTAAACATGTTTTGTTCTACCAAACTAGAGCCAGCCAATCTCACAGTTACATCTGATGAAGATACGACTCATAGCCAGGGAAGGCTTTGCTTTACTTCACCTTGTGGCTTATATGGAAAACCCTGTGAGTAAACATCGCCTCATGGAGAGGTCCACGGTTTGGATGCAGGCACAAGATTCAAACACCGTGGAGTCAGGAAAGAGTGAGCTCTGTAGGGCAAGTACAGATACAGATAATTTTCTCCCCAACTTTGGTTGGCTCTGTCAACTCCTCAGTATTGTTCCATTTCTTACTTTTCCTTGTTACCTATTTCACTCTTACCATAGAAACTCATGATGAAGAATTTCCCTGAATGCATACAATCTAGATTACTCCTAAAAATGCTTTTCTCTCCATTGAAACAAAGCTGATATTTTAACTTTCCTCATGAAGCTGGCTGTGGGGAAGTTTAGTGCCCAAGGTGAAATAGGGCAGGATAAACTCCCCAGGCCCTAGTGGCAAATCATGACACAAGCGGGCACCTGAACCCAATCCTGTCTACTGTAGTGGGAGACTGAATATACATATGGACAAATGACCAGACCTTCTACAGCAATAGATTTCTAACCCACAACCCCTGCAGCAATTAGCTCAGAACAGTCAGGACTTGGTTAATGAATGCCAGCTTCTCTACTTGTTGCCTCTGCTTCCAACTCAGGAGCAACCAAAAAAAGCCAAATAAGTTTCCCAAACCAGTTCCAGTTCTTGCTTCTAGTTAACCCATCTCCATCTTCCCCATACCAGCAACCACCAATGAGAGTACCTGAAGCCTTCCCTTTCTTTCACTATAAACATACACAAACACACACACGAAACCTCCCCTGCTGCCTTTGAATCTGTGCCAAACATTACTGGTGGTACCAGTAAAAAACACGTGTTATGTAAAGACTACAGAAATAATGCTGCACGTTTTATACTATTTTAAAATTAATAAAATTCCAACTGTTATCTCACTTAATCCTCACAATAATGATGTGATTGGGAAGACGACTGTACTACATACACAATTTGACAAGAAAACTCAGACGAGTAGATGTCAATTGATTTGTCCCAGGTAACAGGTAAAATGTGGCTGAGTCAGAACACGAGTTTTCAGAACATACATCTCCGGCTCTTTACCATTTAAGCTCACAGCCTCCAATGTTCAAATGACTCCAGACACTTTAGTAGTGATATCGCAAAGTTGTATTACAAGAATGTTACTCCATGAATGTATCTGTCAGTCTCTCTCTCTTTCCTACTCTCCCTATGAATGTGTGTGGGCCTGTCTGCCTGTCAGTCTGTCATGCCGTGTCTAGAACTTCCTCTTTTCCTTTATATACACCTTTAACTTCTGAATCCATGGGTCTGAATCTCCACAAGCATCTTCGTCCCTGTTTATCCCTCCCTTTTTTTTTCCTGACTACGGCTATGCTAGGCCTACTCTATGACAGTACTATAGAACAGACTCAATAGAAAGAAATGTTTCTCATTTCTAGTCTAGAAATTATTCCGTGCATACTACTGAAAAAACGTATCATTTTTTCCATTCAGAAAAAAAATTGAGTGAATTCTCATAAATCTAGGAAAACAGGAAATATGTAAAACATTTTGATGTTACTTGCTCTGTTTCTTGCACACTATTTACATTAGAAGAGCTTCTGAGGCATTTCATCTCAGAGTAATTTTACATTTTCTGAAATTATTTTTTCATGTCTCTTAATAGTACCCCCTGCTAGACCAGTCTTAAGTTTTCTATCTTCTCATGTACCAATGCTCTGGGTCTTTCAACATGACCCATCATGTGGAGATACTTAGAGAAACAAACCCAGTGATTAGGAGCGAGGGCTCTGCCACTTACTGGCTATGTGACCTTGAGCAAGTCATTTACTTTTCCTAAGCCACAGTTTTGCCTTGTATAACATAGAAGTTATAGAAGTTATTTTCTGAGAATTTATTTTGCCTCATAAGGGTGTTATGAGGATTAAATGGCATGATCCACATAAAGTACTTTGCATAAATATGTACAAGGCATATATGTTCAACAGATGATAGCTATTATTACTATGTTACCTAAGCAAGATGTATATTTTATTGCCTGATTTATTCTTTCTAGGTTATAGATCTACTTCCTCATAGGGCATTTACACCACAGTATGTCACAGGCTTCTCAAATATAGTATGCCCAAAATTAACCTCATTAATTTCCCGAACAGTTCCCTTACTTAACTGCTGATGTCATCATACTTATCCTCTGTAGGGAAATTATTAATTTCCATGAATAATTACACATAGACTAAGAACATTAATGGAGTTATCTGATGTTTATTCTAAGGTAACTATTTCATAATAGCAATGCAAAACAATTCTTGTCGATAGACATGTAGATAATTTCCAGTAGAAGTCTAATTGGTGTCCCTTCCCCACTGTGCAAAAAGCTAGTTTCCTCTCCATTTGCACATTCACTTCAACATTCCTGATCTATACATGTGTATCTTTTCTTTAAAGTTTCTTTTGGCCGGGCGCGGTGGCTCAAGCCTGTAATGCCAGCACTTTGGGAGGCCGAGGCGGGTGGATCACGAGGTCAAGGGATCGAGACCATCCTGGTCAACATGGTGAAACCCCATCTCTACTAAAAATTACCTGGGCATGGTGGCGTGTGCCTGTAGTCCCAGCTACTCAGGAGGCTGAGGCAGGAGAATTGCCTGAACCCAGGAGGCGGAGGTTGCGGTGAGCCGAGATCACGCCATTGCACTCCAGCCTGGGTAACAAGAGCGAAACTCCATCTCAATAAATAAATAAATAAAGTTTCTTTTGAACTGATTGTAACATCTTACCAATTTCCTTTTTAATAATAAGTGAAATAAAATCTCTAACATGTATCTATCTTATATTTGTATGAATCCTAATTTTACCTTTTTTGAAAATTACCTTTTAACACCCCTTCCAAGGAATAGCAGTACTATTTAGTGATAGTTATGTTTCCATTGAAACACATCACCTTTGACACTGACTGTCATACCTCCTATCCAACAGCCTGTGAGCCTTATCCCATATGTCTCTAACACAGAGCAAAGACCACTGTGGTACCAAGTGCAAACACATGGGCTGTGGAGTCTGGTGGCCAGAGTTGAATTCTACTTTGCTGCACAACCTTGGGCTAGTTAATTAATGTCTTCTAGTTTAGCTCCTTTATCTGTAAAATATGGGAGTAACACTTTGACATTGCTGTAAGGGGGAATTAATGAGGATAATACATGTAAAGCATTTAGCCTGGTGCCTGGCATGTGGTGAGCACTCACCTAAAGGTAACTATTAATATCTCACAGACTCGTCTGTCCCTTACCCACCCTCCTTCCTCACTGCTAGTTTAGACCCATTCAATTTCCTGACTAGGTTACTGCTTCCTGGCTTCCCTGGTCACCATACCACCATTTAGTCCCTCTACCCCTGTCTGCTTGCTTCCCCCAGAATAATCTATGGGTGCTGCCATTCTCAGAAGCAGTCACAGTAAGAGGAGATAAAAATAAAGAGATTCTTGAGCCGAGCATGGTGGCTCACGCCTGTAATCCCAGCACTTTGGGAGGTCGAGGTGGGTGGATCATGAGGTCAGGAGATCGAGACCATCCTGGCCAACATGGTGAAACACTGCATCTAAAAATAATTAAAATAACAAATAAATAAATAAAGAGCTTCTCATGTTCTCCTAACCCCAGTGTCACTGTCTCAATCACTGCTTCCCAATTTAGGAAGTTTCATGTGGGGACTGTAGACAAATGAGAAAAACAACATCATTTAGGGTTGTCCTGACCCTCATGAGATAGAATACATTATTCTTTTTAAATAGTCTAACTTGAGAGCACTTTGATTAAAAATGAACAAAATCTGCATTTAATTCTTTTGCTGCCAAAAAAAAGGAACTTGATTAGACATTTTAAAATGGTCCTAAATATTTTAAGCTAAAAGGGAAAATATGAGATCAGCTTCTATTATTGAGCAAATTTGCCTACAGAGTAAAACTTATACTACTTAACTATGCATTTTTTTTTAATTTCAGATGTTTATTTCTGTGTATGCAGCCTTTATAAAGAGCATGCTTCTTATTGGAGTATAGCCAGATCAGTAAACAGAGAAGGAAGGAGTGCAATCTGAGGTTAGAAATAGGAGCTAATCGCCGGGCGCAGTGGCTCACACCTGTAATCCCAGCACTTTGGAAGACTGAGATGGGCAGATCACCTAAGGTCGGGAGTTCAAGACCAGCCTGAGCAGCATTGAGAAACTCTTGCTCTACTAAAAACACAAATTACAGGCGCATGCCTGTAATCCCAGCTACTTGGGCAGCTGAGGCAGAAAAATTGCTTGAACCCAGGAGGCAGACGTTGCGGTAAGCTGAGATTGCGCCATTGCACTCCAGCCTGGGCAACAAGAGCAAAACTCCAACTCAAAAAAAAAAAAAAAACTAGGAGCTAATTTTAAATGTGAGCAGCAAAGGAGAGTCCACATTGACAAAATGCTCCTCTACAAAAGCC